ACATGATTTAGTTGCTGATGCTGGCGTGTCAGGAGCAAAAATTACGGTCACACCACTACCAAAGGGCCTGAAGTTCACTGAAAGCAATGACAAATTGCTTGACAATCCTGATAAGTATCGAAGGCTTGTAGGGAGACTTTTGTATCTTACTTTAACCAGGCCAGACATCGCCTTCAGTGTCCAGCAATTGTCACAGTTTGTACACTCACCAACATTGGCTCACTGGAATGCTGCGGTTCATGTTGTTAAATACATCAAGGGCACATCTTCCACTGGGCTATTCTATCCTACAACCAATGGATTCAACATTGAAGCTTACTGTGATGCCGACTGGGCTTCCTGCTTGGATACAAGAAAGTCTCTCACAGGATATTGCATTTTCTTGGGAGGAGCTCTTATCTCCTGGAAAACAAAGAAACAAACTACCGTTACCAGAAGTTCAGCAGAGGCAGAATATCGAAGCATGGCAGCTACTGTTTGTGAGCTGCTTTGGATCTCTTACATTTTGTCTGATTTTCATATACCGTTACTTCTGCCTATTTCCCTTTGGTGTGATAATCAGGCGGCTCTCCATATTAGTGCCAACCCTATGTTCCATGAACGCACTAAACACTTGGACATTGATTGTCATATTATTCGCAACAAGTATAAAGAAGGTTTCATCATCCCCAAGCATATCTCCACACATCATCAGCTCGCGGATGTTTTCACAAAGTCTCTCCCTGGTCCTCAGTTCAACAGGATCATCTCCAAGTTGGGCTTGCTTCTTCTACATCGCGATCCCACTTGAGGGGGGGATATGGAGAATATCCACGTCACATTATCCACGCCACTTGTTTTACTGCTTTTAGCTGATAATTAGTTACTTGGCTAATTAGTTTAATTAGTCTGTTATGTTTGTTAATTTCCGTTATTAGCACTCGTCACTTTCCCTATTAATACTGTATTTCATTTTTCGTCTGATAATTTGAATAAATTGATTGGGTATTTTCCCTTTCTAAGATTTCTCAATTAGCTTCCATGATTTGAACACCAAAACTAATATAAAAAAGACCCAATATTTTTTTTCCTTTTTCCATACAAGCAAAAAGTCAAAATGAAGCCCAGATTTGCATTGATGATCAACAATATTCAATAGCCTTCGTGTATCTATGACTATGTGAGTGTGTTTTTCATTCAATCAAGAAAAGAAAATTAGCAAAATAGACAGAGCAACTTGGCAGGAAAAAAAAAACAGAAACAGAAAGGCG